ACTCAGCTGAGAGGGAACACTGGACTCCACATGCAGCTGCTGGTGTGACTTTGGGGGGGACAGTCACAAGTTCTCCCAGAGCTGTTCTCTCAAGAGCAGTCCTCAAAAGAGCTCTCTCAGCCCCGCCTACCTCACAGGGTGCCTGTTGTGGGGAGGGGAAGGGAAAGGAGTTTGTACGCTGCTCTGAGACTCCTTTGGGTAGTGAAGGGCGGGAAAGAAATCCAATATCATCATCATCTTCTTCTTCTTCTTCTTCTTCTAAAATGGTTTTTTCCCTCCTCCCTCGAGACCTGTAGCCTGTGGCCTGAAGGAGGACCTGTGCCTTATTATTCCAAGACCAGAGATGTGGGGAGTGGAACCCTGGAAAGACCTCTTTGGCATTAAGAAGCCTGCGATGGGCCAGGCGGTGGCAGTGCAACGCTGCGACTCGAAGCAGTCCTGGAAAAACTGACGTCATCAAGCCAAGCCGAGTGAATGCCGTCTGGAACACGTCTAAGTCTACAGCTGAACAAAAAACCCCGTCGGCTCCAAACGTGTGCGACTTAAAAAAAGATTTATATGTTGTCCTCCCTTACCCCCTATGAATCATTGTTAGTCCCTTGTTAATATGTGTAACTGTAAATCGCTCAGAGCCAGCAGCTCTGCAGGATTGAGTGATTAATAAATCGAAAGAGATGATGATGATGATGATGATGATGATGATGATGATGATGATGATGATTGCCAGTGGCTCACAAAGTAGGATTTTTGCTCACAAGACTTCACGGCGTAGAGGGCACCTTGGTGGGGAGCGGACCCCTGCTCTCCAAAGCCCCCTCCGTGCTGGGGGCACAGCAACAGTCCCGAGGCTGCCAGTTCTCCAGTTTGGTGTCGTGGTTAAGTGCACGGACTCTAATCTGGGAGAACCGGGTTTGATTCCCCACTCCTCCACTTGCACCTGGCTGGGTGACCTTGGGTCAGTCACAAGCTCTGGCACAGCTGTCCTTGAAAAAGAGCAGTTTCTGCCAGAGTTCTCTCAGCCCCACCCACCTCACAGGGGGTGTCTGTCATGGGGAGGGGAAGGGAAAGGAGTTTGTCCGCCCCTCTGAGACTCCAAGTGAAGGGCGGGGTATAAATCCAATCTCTTCTTCTTCTTCTTCCCTGTGGGGACCTCTTCAACCTAAACCCACGAGGACCCCTTTCTCACCCACCCACCCCACTCCAAACCTGCCTTACTGTGATGGCAAAGGAAAGTTAAAACTAGGAAAGTTAAAACTAGGAAGAAAACTGGGATTCTCTGAGCTCAGGCGTGACCCAGGAGGGCAAAGTGTCGCAGGTCTACTCTTGTTCAGTCTCTGATGATTCGTGCCTTCGCACAAGCTTGGGAGGAGCCACGATTCTGGCTCTTTTCAGCAGGCGCCAGGGACCGGGCAGGCCGTTCTCCCCCCTCTGACTCACCCTCCCCAGCCCATGGCTGCTGGGTCAGGCCGTTGAAAGCCAGGTGGGTGCGGGAGATGGCACCCGTCACCCTGGATTTAGTCTTGCACGAACAGGCTTCCCGGGCTTTGCAGCAAAAGCCTGGTTGGGCGGGCGAAGGAAGGGGTGGCCACTTGCCCTGTCTCAGCCACAGCCGCCAGACTTCTCCGTGAAAGGGGGGGGTAGTCCCAGAAGGGGGCTGCCGGCCACGGGGATCTTCCTACCCTCCCCGGCTGCCCCGCCCTGCCATCTTGCCACCTCCGCTCTGGAGCCCAGGGCGCAGGGCGACGGTTCGGCCGCAGCCATCCCTAGAAACAGCAGACTGGGTGGTCCCAGGCACAAGTTGCCCCAGAAGGTCGGACCAGAACCGACGGGTTGGAATTGAGGTTTCGGCTAAACGTTAAGAAGACCTTCCTGACAGACAGTCAGAGCAGTTCCCTCAGTGGGACAGGCTTCCTCGGGAGGTGGCGGGGCTCTCCTTCCTTGGAGGTTTTCAAGCAGAGGCCGGATGGCCATCGGACAGCCATGCGGATTCTGTAAACTTGGGCAGATCCTGAGAGGGAGGGCAGGAAAGGTTGCCTCAGGGCTTAGTTATTATTGTGGCCCTTTCTCACACACCCAGGGAAACGCCGGTCGCCACTTTGGGCGTCATGGCTCCCTCTAAGCCATGGAGTCTTGTGAGCAAAACGTCTACTTTGTGTGAGCTGCTGGCATTAAAGCTGTGAGTGAGCCATTTGGCTACTGCATAACTTACTTTGCCCTCGAGCCATCCTTCCTGAGCTAAGACAAAAAAATGTGTGAACCAAAGGCTAACAAACGGTGATCTAGCTCACACTGACTCAGCTCAGAGGGAACACTGTCAGGGAGCAATTGTTCTCCAGGCCAGTTTGGCCGAGGATCCTGGAGGGGTTTTTTTGTCATCTTCTGGGCATGGAGCAGGGGTCACTGAGTGTGTGTGTGTGTGTGGGGGGGAGGTATTTGTGAATTTCCTGCATTGTACAGAGGGTTGGACTAGATGACCCTGGAGGCCCCTATGTTTCTATGATTCCAAGGGTGGCTAGACTGCTGCCACGTGACGCTCTGATGGGGCCTGCTTTGGTCGACTGTCCCGGGAGGTGAAGGCATATGAAATGCCGCCAGGGTGAAGGAGGAACAGCAGACCGACACAACCGGGACCCCATACGCAGCTCCCGCCCTCTCCGCCGGCCAGTCTCCAGTCCAGAGACCGGTTCTGGGCCCAGTTCCAAGGCCTCCCGGGCCCAAAGAGCCTTTTGCCTAAAGCACCTGTACGATCCACTTGCCTGGAATGGAGAGGGGCCGGTTCCAGCCGGCTTTATCTGCCAGTAGAAACCCCCCAGGGGGGTCGGGAGCTGCGGCCTCTTCTCCGAGCCTGCCGCTGGCGAAAGGCCACGGTCAGGAGTTGCCCGGGAGGCCTTTGGGGCAGAGGGGAGGAGGTGAATGCTTGACCTCCCTTGTGTGACGTCACTTTATGGCTTTATCTTGATTTCACGGGCCCTGACCTCGGGGTTACCAACCTCCAGGTGGGGCCTGGGGATCTCCCGCTATTACAACTGACCGCCAGGAGACAGAGATCAGTTCCCCTGGAGAAAAGGGCTGCGTGGGCAGGTGGACTCTCTGTGGCGTTCTACCCCAAGGAAGCCCCTCCCCTCCCCAACCCCGCCCCCCTCAGGCCCCACCCACAAAATCTCCAGGTATTCCCCAAGTTTGGACCTGGCAACCCTGCTGCCCGGCCTGGTTTTACGGCTGCCCGATCCTGACGGTCTGAGTCTGACTGCAGGAAGGTGCCCAGCAAGACGGCCAGGAAGCCGTTTTGGACCCCGGGCCCTGCAGGACTGCTCAGCACTGCCAAAGGGGCGCCGCCGGACTGTCCCCTCGCAAGAAGATCTGCTGCAACAGAATAAGGGTGCCTGGTAGGCTTCTCACCGTCCCTACACATATGTGGCCCTAGATTAGGATTGTTCGAATTAGAATTGTAAGCCGATCAGAGCCCCTAGGGGGTGAGCGGGATAGAAGCCGAAGGATAAATACATAAATAAATAAATAAATAAATACTCTTCTTCTTCTTGAGAACACCAAACAAAGACGGGAAGACGGGAAGAGTGATGTCAGCCACTTGGGGTCCCCCACTGGGGAGAGAGGTGGGGCATCGATGAATGGGATGAATTGCACACCTTTTGTGAACTTGGCCTCGGTGTGTGTGTGGGGGGCAATGGCCTCCCTCGCCCCCCACGAGGCTGCCTCTGCTTGCCTGCCCAAGGGGGCCTTTAGGCTCCCCTGGGCAGGTGGAGGCCAAAGGCAGTGCCGGGCCCAGAGACAGACCAATCTTTGCTGCCAACTCACAGGATGCACTTCCCTGCAGCGGCCGACCATCCCTGCTGGCCAGCAGCCAGCGGGAAACCCGTCGGACTGTCCGATTAGCGTGTCTCGGGCAGGTCGCGGCAGAGATCGTTTTCCTGCCGGTTTCCCCCCCCCCCCTCGGTCCGGGACAACCCAGCTGTCGCTCTGGGGGCGGGTCAACAGGTGAGTCATCCCATCAGCTAGAAAAGAGGAAGGGAGGCGAGTGTGAGTTTGCCAGCTCTGGAGCTCCCCAGCACGCTCTCTCTCTCGTCTGTGCAGGCCGGGTATAAATAGCGGTGCCCGGCAGGGTGGCAAGAGAGTGGCGCATGATGGAAACCCGGGACGCAGGGTCTGGGAATGTGAAGTGGGCTCGGTAGATCCCGTCTGGCGTGGCCCAGTCAGACGGTTTCCAGGGCTGCCTTGGGGCTCTCCAAACCGCTGCTTTCAACACATCCTCTCGGGAGGGGTGCCAAAGTTCAAGAGAAGCCGGAGAGGACGGCTCAGCCACCCCGCTGCTAGAAGCGCCGAGAGAGGAGCCCAAATGGCCAAGAGGAACGGGAGGAACTGGAAGGAGAGCTTTGCCCTGAAGAACAGCCTGGTGAAGGAAGCCCTCTCCGAGTTCCTGGGGACCTTCGTGATGGTAGTAAGTGGAAGCCGACTCCCTCCCTCCCTCACTTCCTTCCGCCCTCCCTCGCAGAACTGCCAAGCAGCTATGCACGGCGCTCTGCAAACCAGGGCTGCCTCTGCTCTTCTGCAGGCGCTGCTCACATTGCACGCTGCCCGGCCGGTTCTTCTCCTCCGAGGGAGATTCCGCATTGGCTTTTCCCTCCGTGGTTCTACCAAACCCATGTTTGAACAGAAATTCCCCTCTGCACTGCATGCCACTTTCACTTCCTTTGTTCACCGGGTTTTAGGGTACCTTCTGCATAGCTTTATGGTCGTTCAGGGGTGGCTTTGCAGTCAGTGTGGCGTTGCCTCCTGGGGTATTTGAATGTGGTTTTTGAGCTGCACCTTTTCTGTCCCAATGGGTGTTTGGAGAGCCAGTTTGGTGCAGTGGTTAAGTGCGCGGACTTCAAACTGGGAGAACCGGGTTGGATTCCCCACTCCTCCACGTGCAGCTGCTGGATGACCTTGGGCAAGCCATAGTTCTGACAAGAGCTGTTCTTGAAAAAGAGCAGTTTCTGTCAGAGCTCTCTCAGCCCCACCTCCCTCACAGGGTGTCTGTTGTGGGGAGGGGAAGGGGAAGGAGATTGGAAGCTGCTCTGAGATTCCTTTGGGTAGTGAAGGATGGGGTAGAAATCCAATGTCCTCCTTCTCCTCCTCCTCCTCCTCCTCCTCCTTCAAACAACAGAGGGAAAAAGCCAATGCAGAACGAGGCCAAATTAGGCCAGGCAGTGGACGTGGGGAAGCAGTTCCATGGGGGCTCGACCGCTCTAGTGCATATCCTCCAGCACCCCGAGGAAGCATGCAAAAAGAGATAGAGATAGAGAGAGATTCAAGCATACTTCCATAATTTCAAGAACTTGTGACCCAGGCCCTCGAAAGCCAGCATTAGAGCGAGGGATCGCAGGGCCAAATGGCGAGTGTTTTTCTTCCTGAGGAGTAGACACGCTGCAGGCCAGTTCGGATCAAGAGGGTGGTGCAGGGGAGAGGAGCCTGGATCCGTCGCCCCCCTGAACGTGAAAGAGCCCTGGGGGGCTCCGATGTTTACCCCACTGGGGCAACCAACGTCCAACTGGGGGAACAGCAGAGTCAAGTGGAGAGGCGGCGGAGACGTTCCCTAAATCAGTACCGAGTGCCAGGCCCTGCCACCCCCTTGTTCCGTCGTCCCAACCAGGCCTGGGAGCTGCCCGCAGCGGCTGTCGATGAGTGCCAACCAGCCACAAACCTCCCAGCAGCACCGAATCCCGTTTCCCAATCTCTCTTCCCACTGGCTTCACCGGGAAACGTATTCCAATACGTACCTTGCCCCCTGCCATGAGGTTGTTGGTTTGTCCTGACCTGGATACTCCTCCCCAAAGGAGGAGCTGTTTTGGGTGGACAACGTCCCCATCAGACACTTTGCTGAGTGGCTCTTTCCTCGCGGCCCTCCCCACCGGCTCCGGCACTCCGCTCGGGAACCAGACAGTGTGGCACCAGCCTAACCATGAGCCGGGCAGGCTTCCAGTGTTTCCCAATGTTGGGTATTACAAGTTGAAAGCACTCAGTATATCTGGGGTTAAATGTTTGTTTATGTTACTCACAGGAAGTCACATGTTTCTCGTGTAACCAATGTTCTTTAGCCGTAGAATGCCCGGGAATTTTCTCCCTGATCCAGGAATTTGATTGGGACTAAAGTGTCAAGGTGTATTAGCATTTTATGGCTTCTCTTCCCGTCTTTGTTTGCTGTTATGAAGAAGAAGAAGAGTAGCCATACTCTCTCTCTCCGAGTTTTGTCTTTGTAGAGTAAGGATGTAGACGATTTAGCTCTGTTGTTATTTCCATCCCAGTTACCCTTCCCCATGCTAGAATTTAGTAAAACCTTTATATTTTAATCACACATGGACTCACAGTCTGAATTATTTTACTCTGGCTCTGCTGGACTATCTTATCTCTGCTAAACACCATTTTTTCAGTATCTCACTATCACCCAACCCCAGAAGTCGGAAATTATTCCCTCCTGATTTGGAGCATGCAGGATAGTTACAAGCGGGCACGGGCTTGGTTAGATCACAGATAGAAACGTTTGTGATTTCACAACCTGAATCGCTAGCAGGTCAGGGATCTGGAAAGTATGCCAAAACGCTCTGGGAGTTGGGCACCGGAGCCACTGGTTCTGGCAAGGTGTCGTGCAGTCCCAAGGCTCCCTCTAAGCTGTGGAGTCTTGTGAGCAAAAATCCTACTTTGTGAGCTACTAGCGTTAACATTGTGAGCGAGCCATTGGGCTGCTGCATAAATCAGTTTGGTCTGGAGCCCCATCCTTCCTGAGCAAAGACAAAAATGTATGAGTCAGAGGCTAAAAAACATGTGAGCTAGCTCACTAACAGCTTAGAGAGAACACTGGTTCTCTACTGGGTTCATCCTGTCAGAAACTGACGGGTCTGGATGCTCGATCCAGCACACAGCCGTTCCTGCCTTCTGCTGCCGGAGATCACGGCAACTTCGCTTTCACGGATCGGGGAACTGAGGCCCAGAAGTCAAGTCCTGTGCTGGTGGCAACTGCATCAACTGAGCGAGGCCTGATGAATTCAGGGATGGGCCAGCAGCACTCGTTTCCATAACCATAAACTGATGGGGAGGGGGGTGAGACCCATGAGGCAGTTCTCCTGCAAGGTCTCACTGCAATGAATGGGATCTGTGGAAGAGCCCAGTTCACTGCAATGAGGCTTGTGCAGGAGATCTCCCCCCAGGAGGCAGAGCCCCCTGCCTACTCCTCCGGCACCCCGTATCTGCCACCTGCCTTAAGCCAACACTTCTGTCTTTTTATATGTGCACGTATGTGTGTGCACGCATCTAGAAGTCATGGCGACCTCTGGTGACTGACCCCTACTGGGGGCCTGGAGGATACTCAGAGAGGTGGCTGAATAAAGCCTGCCCCTGCCTCCCGCCTCTGGTATTCCAAGGAGGTCTCCCATCCAAGTACTAACCACAGTCAACCCTGCTTAGCTTCTGAGATCTGATGAGATCGGGCTCACCCGGGCCGTCCAGGTCAGGACAAGCCAACACTTCTGCCTACGGCAACCCAGGGACTCATGCAGAGCTCCGCTGCAGTGATTCGAATGTACGATGCAGACAGGGGAGTTCAGATTATTTGACCAGCCTGAGCAGCAATGGGGTCCCCGGGGGCCCTGCAGCGGTCCCCCCTCGGCCCTGGGGCACGGGGTCTGCATGCTGCCACATCAGCGTTGGCCAGCCTGGAGCCAATCACCCTCCGGGGGCACCTCCCAGCACCGCCTGCCGGCCAGCAGGGGCAAACACAACCGGCTGCACACGGGCATCCCGCGAGACTAGGCAATGGGGTGGGGGTGGGGGGGCAGGATGACAGACTGAAGGGGTGTTGGAGAAGAGCAAGTCCGGACAGCCCCGGCTGCGGAAGGGAGAGGCAGGCTCTTTCTTCTCCGTTGAGATTTCGCTCCCTGGCTTTTCGTATCATGCGAGGGGATTGTCCCGGCCTGTCAAGGGTGCGGATTTCAAGCTTTGCAAAGTTAACAAAGAGCAGATTTTGCCTATGGCCAATCGGGTAACACCCTTTTTATGTAACAGACTGGGGGAGGGGAGCACCCCCATGGAGGAGAGACGGCGGGGCTTGTCTTTTCCCTAGAAAGTGGAGGGCGGGGCAAGAGGGCAGGGTGTTTCTCACACAGTTCCCATACAGAGAATCGATATACGTTACTTGTTTCGGCTTTGGGAGCCGCTTGACTGAACCCAGGGCCACCGCTGAAAACGGCATCCCTGCGTCAAGTCCTGCCTCTTTTCTCCCATTGCAAGCAGGATGGTTCGCCCGTTTCCCCAAAACCTGGGGCTTCCCACGCACAGCTTGCGGCAGGGTAGATGCAGCGTCAGTGATAGGGAAACAGGTTTTGCACTGTCAGTGAGCACAGCTGCGAAGACGCCCTCCCTCGCTTCCAGTTTGGGCCAGCGTCTGCCAGTACCAGTGCAGGACATAAGAACACAAGAGAAGCCAATGCTGGATCAGGCCAGTGGCCCATCCAGTCCAACACCTCGTGTCACACAGTGGCCAAAAATACCAGGTGCCCTCAGGAGGTCCAGCAGTGGGGCCAGGACATTAGAAGCCCTCCCACTGTTGCCCCCCCCCCAAGACAGAAAAAAACAGACCGAGGCAATGCACATATATTTCTGGAAAGTTTTTTTTTTTTAAAGGCACTTTGCCTGGGTTGAGGGATATGTGTGGGGGGTAGATGGGGTTACTTCGGTTTTGACTTTGCTGGGCCCTTTTCTCCTCATTTCCCCTCATTTCCCTTCTGGATTCTTTTTCAAATCAAAGCCAAACTGTCAAACTTTCCCTATGCTCTTAGTTAAAAGTCATAAACTTCCTTTCATGCTCTTTAACTTTGGTCAAGGTTTGTCAAAAAGGGTTAGTGAACCTTTGCAGAGTTTGGGGTTAATTACAGTTGGGTTCACATGGCTCTAGTGAGCAGTGCTGGGATGGTAATGACTTCTAGTCTCTACAGGCCTGAGCCAGCTGAAAAGCCTATAAAGTCATGAGATGAAAAGTTCTGGTGTAAACCACCTCATAAAACTCAGAACTCTTTTGTTTAGTTTCACACTTACAGCATGAAATATGTGGCCCTTCCAAATTCTTGTATTTCCACCAGCGGGGCCAGGACACTAGAAGCCCTCCCACTGTTGCCACCCCATGAACCAAGAATACAGGGGACCACTCCTCATCTTCCCCCTTACCTGGTCTGGGATCACTTCTTGGTGCTCGGCACCAACAGGAAGGCCACCAATGCGGCTCAATTCTTGCTCCTGCTCAGTCACACCCCTTCCAATTCTGGGGGGAAAAAAGACAGACTGTCGGTACCTGCAGAGGACCCACCAGCCACAATCAATGCCGTAATATCCAATCATGTCTCCCCCCCTCCAACTCTTTAACCCAGGGGAGTTGAACATAAGGCCCAGGGGCCGGAATCGGCCCGTCCA